CCTAAAACTTTTGCACAGTACTCTGTGTGTGTGTGTGTGTATACATACATACATACATACATACATACATACATACATACATACATACATACATTGGTCACTGACTAAAATTGATTGAAAGTAGAAGGGTCCCCCTTATCACAACTACTTCTAGAATTTCATAAAATAGCAAAATAAATAGTTTTCTTTTTTAAAAAACCCAATAGAATGGGAGCCAATCTAACCTTGGGAGCAGTGCTGTTTAAGAGAAGGAGGGACTGTGACTGTGAAGGCTTGGTATTCTAGGCGACTTTCAACTATGGCTGCATTGAAATTGCCATTTACTTCCCGAATGTTATGTTGTTCAAAATTTTGTAAGATATAAATAAGAAAATTATAGGCCGTTTATTTTACATTCCTTTGTCTTTGAGACAAAGTCAATACACGTGCTAAGGTTGAATTCCTTAGATCTAGCTTTTCTGCTCCATTACTGACTAGTCATGCCTCAGGTGTTGCCTTATTTGATGCATTAAAGTTCTTTCTTATCATAATCTTTATGACTGAGCTTGCCTGTGGTAATGCATTCAGCTAAAGCTAAAGCCCCTTTTTTCTTTTGAATGACATTTGAGTAATTAGCTGATAAAGCAAGGTTTAAAGAACAGTTAACATCTGAAGCCAAAAGCATATTTGACTAAAAAATAAACCTCATTACTGTATGTAAAACAATTTTGTTTTGGGTAGACTAAAATGTAACCAGCATCCTGCCAGCAATTTTACTTTTGTTAAACAAAAATTAAATAATATCTTCTGCAGGGAATTTCCACTTACTAAGTTGTCTGAAATCAACCAAGGATCACTGCTGGATCAAAGCACCCATACAGCTAATGTTGTTTCCCCAGTGAGCCAGCAACTCTGTTTGGGTAATGTTATATTTAAATTTCCTGGTAATTATCAAAAGTTCACTTCAGTACTTGATTTGTAAATCATTTATGTCCTACACAATGCATGAACATCCACAGAATGGATGGCAAATGATGAAATGTGTGTCATGACAATGTAGGGCAAATGTAGGGGTAGAAATATATTATGACAGCATTTGTCTGAGGATATTACCTTTGTTTTGTCAATTTCGTTTTATGGATCGCTGAAGAGATTGCTAATACCTCTTCTACTATCATTTTAGTGTTTAAAAACCCCTAGAACCACCCAAGAGCACATATTACTAAAAATTGATGGCAAACCTTTAAATAACAAAAATTAGATTTTCCTCACATTTTTCAGGAAGAAACAATTATATTATGTTTTAAATGGACTAAAATGTCTTAACAGGTAGCAACATCTAGCCACCTTGAAAAAAAGTTACTGTCAGGTTTTATTCCAACCATTACTTAAGAATGAGTGTGTGGAGATTCAAGGACATCTCTTTGATTAGCTAATTGATTAGCTAATTAGCTAATTCTAAATATTAGAAAAGTTGATATTAGAAAAGAAAGCTAGCAATGGATAGCTATAAACCTAAAGCCACTTGGCCTCCTCTTTCTTATTTCCAGTCAATCCCCAAGTTAAAAACGTATATCTCTTATTTCTGCTATGGACCAGAATGACACATGTTTGATTTTCAATTGAAGGAACAATTGAGGTTAACTATTAAGGTAATAGGCTTATGAAGTCCCAGGCTTGGGAATCTGGCTTGGTCCTCACAACTAAATTGGCTTAGATCTGGTCCCATTTGATGAAAGAGCACAAGAAAATCCCAAGGCTACAGGGCAGATGGCGAAGCTGAAAAAGAGAAGAGTAAACCATTTTTGAATTGCCGCCGAAAGCACCACATCGATAAGAGTATATAAAACCATCAAATGTTAATTTCAACTCAAGCAAGCCTTTCCCTTTACTTTAGGCTTATTATGCCTAGAAAAAGTTAACTAAAAAACTAGAAAAAGCAGAAAAAATGAGAAGTACAGCATCCACTTAGCACATATTTGGCCTCTTTTTTCCTAGTCATATTACAAATATGATCTTTCATAACCTTTTGAAGTTCAACTTTCTTTTTCTTCAAAAGTCATACACTGCATTCACATATTTCTAAAAGGCATATTGGGTTTTCCATTTTTTGAAGTATCTTATTTATCTACACATGTACATATATTTACATACATTTGCTGCAATAATGTGCTCAGATTCCCAGAAGTTTACAATAATAAACCAATATTTAAACTCAAACAGCAATACCTCAATAATACATTCCATCAATACTGATAATACATATGTATCATTCCTCAAATACTTGCTGAAAAATTCTATTTTTACCAACTTCTGGAAGGCTATTGGGATTGCTGCTGAATTGACCTCAGAATGGAAGCTGTCTGTACTGTAACATAGGGGCTGCAACAGAAAATAGAAACCAGAAAAACAACATGAGGTTGTACTGTCTTACTGACTCTCTACTGGTGACCATTCATACATTTTGTTTGGGAGAATACACTGAGTGAATTTATCCGCATGGACTGTCCAAATATTATAATACAGAACAAATACATGTGCTAAGGAATGCTTTATTGTAAGCTTTATCATCTGGTGGATTTTGATGGCAGAAACAAAAGTAGTTCTTTGTTTAACTTGGGTTCTTGAGATAACATGGCATGAGGCCAGGTTATTTGAGGAGCCACCTCTCCCCAGTGACATCTCTCCATCCCATCAGGTGCAGCAGAAGAGGCTTGTTGAAGGTTCTGTTCACTTGAGAATGTCACCTGCTGGGACCCAGGAGGGGGGCATTTCTGCTGCTGCACCCTATCTATGGAACAACATTCCTCCCAAAGTCATGTTGAAGATTATTCCAGAAGAGCCAGAAAACCTGTTTTGTCTTCTGACCCCAGGGATCAAAGTGGTGCTGAGCTCATAAAATGGCTATACTGTTCTTGAGTATCTATATTCTTTGGATGACTTCTCAAAGACTTTTAATTCTTAACTAGACAACCCATGATCTGTTGGGTCATCCTTTCAGAAATATTTTTTACCTAAATAAAGAAGTAAAATAACAGTGGACAGGCACAAAAGCAGTGGGAATAGAAGTGTCAGGCTCCCAAAACAAAGAATGATGGTGGTTCTTCACTTTTCTTAAATGTTTAATAGTATGCATACCAGCACCACAAACAAACAAGGGGAATCTTTCCATCCCTCCTGATATAAGGCAGAAGCACTTCTTCCAGTATCACACCTGATTCTGTTCAAGTTTGTCCAGAAAGAGTGAGGTTGGTCAAAACCAGGTGGCTTTCCTGAGAGATCACTAATGATCAGGCTACAAGAAGCTAGCTTGGACTATTTTTCCAGACATTCTGTGGTTAAACGGAGTAGATGTTAAGTAAATCATTGTTTTCCATACTGGCCTATGGGATTTCAATCTTGAGATAAACCCTGCATTGTCCTGGTGAATAAGGAGGGCCTTGTTGTTCAGCATCCTTGACTAGAGCCGAAGGAGAGCTTGTTGTCTTCTAATGTGGAGCCAATATGATATTGCTAAGTACTGGTAACCAGTGCACAAGAGTGGAATGCAACATTCCAGAGATGATACACATTATCTGGTGGAGTTGGACATCAACCATTTGAGTGTGGGCACTGTTAAGCCACACACTGGCACAATATTCAGCTGTGGAATAAAGCAAAGCAATACTAGGAGTGAGGTTCAACTTAAGGGATTCTTTATCTTGTTAAGTGGCTAGCAAAATAGTGCTTACCAGAAATCCAATTGAATTATTTGGTCTTCGAGGCATTGTATGGGAGGATGTTTTGAAAAAGCATATTTACTGTCTAAACCAGCTTTATCTTGATTGGTTTAATTTAATAATCTTAGTTTATCTGTTCTTGGAAGAAACATCATGTATATTTGAAAAGTACTTTAGGAGATTATATAGTGATTACAGGTAAAGTTCAAAGGTTGTTTTAATTTTTTATTACAGATGAAGATAGCGGGGAAGACATAGAATATATTGTTATTAATCAATTCCAGAAGGCATTTGGTTCTGCTGTAAGTAGTTGCTTCTTAAGGGTGTTTTTATTATTTTTGCTATATCCCAAGGGTCTTAAACTCCTGAGTACTTCAAGAGGATTTGTTCAAGGGCTGGAATAGTGAAGCCCTTTTATATGTTGATACACAAAAATTTAAAAAATGGAGAAAATAACATTATGATATGTTTTAAAATGTAAATTTCTTACACTAAAGAAATCACAAAGAAAAAAAATCCAATTTAGAGTTTTCCACTATAATTAATGGAGAAGCAGAGTTGTTTATGATTTTGAATATTTCAGCCTAAATATGGTAACCAAATTATTCCAGTCCTCTCTCTCCTCCAGATCACCTAATCAGGATCCAAAATTCAAATAATCCACTTACTCAGAAAATTGTATTGGGATAGAAATTTTGGTTTCTTATTCATGAAATGCTTTGGTAGACCTGCCTTGTTGCAGACCAAGGGAAAACTGAAGTGTGCCTTCAGAGATCTAAAATTAAGATCTGATGGAGACGACGAGGGTTGAAAAAGGAGCTGCCATCTTGCTAGCAGCAGAGAGAATAGGAAATTTCTTACTCAGTGCACACATAGCAGGGAAGTAACTGCCAGAAATAGGTTGCAGCTTGCCAGTTTAACCAAGTACTATAGATCATTGGCTGAGAAGAAACAGGTCTGTTTCTGGGCTGGGCAGGCTAAGGAGCAGCTGAATTCCTAACTTCAGAGTGTCATCACAGTTGAAGCATGGTCTGCTCCCATAGTCATGGCTTTAAAGTGAAAAGTGTAGCTCTGTATCCAGGCAGGGCAAATTGAAGAGTAGTTGCACTCTGAGTCCTACATTAAGGTACTAGTGATGCCCTGATCTGGAGCTTGGTACGCAGCTATCCTTTGATCAGTCACATTTGAATGGAGAACTACCTTTGGCAGCATGCATTGGAAATGGTGAAATCAGCATGCTCTCCTTCTAGCCATTACTCGTCTGCTGTGTGTATGAGTGAGACTTTATAAGTGAGGCATTGAGTATGTGACTCAATCACACTGAACAACTATTTCAAAGAGTCATGGAATCTTCCTGAACAGTGGCAAAATCTGCATTGAATTTCCCTATATTGCAACTTCTCAATTTCCAGCAGACGAATCCTTCAGTGGATCAAAGTTTTCTTTCCCATACCCCTCACCTCCAAAAGGTTGTCATATTTGTGGGGCTAAATTAAGAATAAACCCAGCGGATATAAGATGGCCCTGGGCACTATTTATGGCACACTTTTTAATTGCTTATAGTATGTGAGGATCTGTGTGCTCTCTGAGCTTGGTTGTTTTCTTGCAGACATTTTATTACCAAACTAGGTAACATTATCAGTACTAGAAGGGAGTGGAATTTGCTCTCATTTTACATACTAATGGTTTGCCTGGTCAATGTTGGTGGGAATAGTCTAGGTGGTTTTTTGATTAAGCTGTTGTTTACTGTTTTGGGGATATTATTTACTTCTTGATTGTTGGTCTAGTGCAGTGGTTCCCAACCTTTTTTGGCCATGCCCCACCTCAGCATCTCTAAAATCCTGATGCTCCCCCCCGTGACATATAATTCTTACTCAAAAAGTGAACTGTACTTACACAAGGGAAGCCTAAAAGGCCATTAACTTGGTTTAAATAAGTTTCAAATTGCCCCCCTGTGTGGCGTGGGCCTCATGTTGGGAACCACTGGTCTAGTGTTAATGTTATCATCTGAATGTTGATTGCTGGTGAGGTGTTTTTGTCTTGTTTTCTTTTTGGTTATCTCTTTTGAATGGGATGTAGATGTTGTTTATATGTATCTGCCTGTTGATGGATGATTTGTCTGAGTGCCAGGCTTTCAGGAATTCTCTAACATTTTTGGATTAGGTTTGGTGTAGAATGCCCAGAGTTTCTCAGTTGAAATTATGATTCAATCTGTCCATATGTTGTGAAATGAAGGGTTTACATCATGTCTGCTTACTGCTAATTAGTTTTCATGAATGTCATCTATGTACCAATCTGCCTAGAATCCATAGCACTTCCACACATATAATCCAAAGTATGGATCTGGCATGTAGATGACGTTGTTACACACTGTACTTATAACATCTTTTTTATCTTTCTACATTTAATGATGCAGTTTAACTTTGTATACAAAAACTAGTTTCATATTGTTTTACATGTCTTCCATACCCTGCTATTTTTTGTTTCCTTATTAGATGATGCACATCAAAAATCAAAGTGTATGTAGTATAGCAGCAGAGGGTGTCAATTTGTGTCGGCATGGAAAACTTTCTTGGTTACAAGTAAGAATACACAATATGCCTTATAGTTTGGAATGTAAATTTTAAAAAATACGATAGTTTTCTTATTAGCAAAAATAGTCTAAGAATAAAAAATATATAACTTTGCCTCTCAGTGTAATTCATCATTTTTCCTATTTTATATTTTGCTGCTTTTATATCTGGTGCCCTTCATAGAATTCTCTGTTTCTATAGAGTAGTAAGTATTTGGGGTTGTAATTTGCTTTGAAACATCAAGATATTGTGGAAGGTGTTAGTTAAAAGCTATCCATATCAGATGCATAAATTGAAATAAACAAAAATATTGCCACTGTGACATCTTTAAAATTAAGATGTCAAAAATATATTGATACTCTAACCATGTTCTGGTATTAATATTTGAATTACAGCAGATCTATAATTTTGTTCTTTTCTGTATGTATTTACTATAGGTAGCAACAAAATGTCAAGTTTTCTTATTTGATGTTTTTGTTTTGGGAGCTCAAGTGTTCAAGAATGGACTACAAATGATACTGGAGGACCAGAATATTTTGAAAGTATGTATCTATGTAAAACAGATATCCAATAACATATAGCGAGGAAACTTGAAATTGTGTTTTTTAAAAAGCCAGAAAATATGTTATTTTTATTATATTCCTTGATCAAAATGATCTTGCTTCTTCATATTTCTTAGGTTATCCATGATTGTCGTTGGCTCTCAGATTGTCTTTCTCACCAATATGGAATTGTGCTCTCCAATGTCTTTGATACACAGGTAGCTTGTCAAATACTCTTGTATGTAACCAGATTTGAGGGGAAGTAGCTTAATATGCTACTCCATAAAGTAATGTATGTAATGTATCTGAAATGTATTTGTCCTTAATAATGCATAAAACATTCCATACAACTTGTTTCTGAGTCAAGATAGCTGTCTAAAAACCTTTTATTGCCTTTCTATTTGCTAATAACATATCAATGATTTGCTGAAAAATATTCTTAAATCTAAAAAAACCTATTTGTTGGATTAATATTAAAATAATACTGACAGAAGAATAATCCTATATTCAAGTTTCTTTTTGTGAACTACAGAAGTGACTAATTGATCATTTCACTTTTTCACTGATAGGTTGCTGATGTATTACAGTTCTCAACAGAAACAGGTGGCTACCTTCCACATAGAATCAGCACTTTACAAGAGTGTTTAATGCGATATTTTAGGCTGCCTGACAAATGCATTTCTTTTTTGGAATACAAACAGCAAGCAATGGAGGTAAGATGGCTCTGATGGCATCATGGTGGGAGTTGAAGGAAATCAGATCTGCTTTGTAGCCCATTATTTATTTTATAACTTCTTAAAGTTGTAAGTGAAATTATGTCTAAAATAGCATACACTTAATACTTATCCTAAATACTAATCCATGATTTTTCTTTCATTTGGTACTGAGCTAGATGTTGCTGATAATAAGATAGAAATTATGTGCGAAATATTTTGTAGCTTTTCCAAATCAAATAGAGTTTTTTTAGAGTTTTATTAGAATTTGTAGGCCGCCCTTTTCCCTGAGGGGACTCAGTGCGGCTCACATAAAACTGGGAATGGGGAATACAAACATCAAGATAGAGACATATAATAAAAT